AACTACAAAATATCTTTTATAAAGTATAAAATTATTAAATTTAACTTTAAAACTTCGAAAAGAATAGATAGAATTCAGTTATTATAACTTTTAATTATCATTAATTTAAAATTTTAAACTGATATCATAGATTATAGGTTCCATTAGGATTCGAGATATCCCTGGCATTTAATTCAATTCAAGAATTTTAAATTATAACAATTTCTCGGATTCGTAACGCTTTCTTCTTACAAAAAAAAAAAAAATAAGAATTGTAGAATAACTAGATAGCGTATAAATAAATTTATCTCTTAATTTAACGTTTTAGTTTATAAAGTCATTTTCTCTCTCCTCTCGGAGGAGGGAGAGCAAGAGAGAGAGATTTTCATTTATTTTCAAGAGAGAAAAAGAACTTTCTAGTCATTATACGAATTCAAAACTAAAAAGGAAACAATCTACAATTGTAAGCGTGCCAATTACTTTTATAAACAGCCAAATTTCACTTCTTTCATCTCATAAATGGATATTCCATTTATGACGATGATGGAAGATTTTTTAACAATACTATCTTAATTTCTTCAAATCCGTTTAAATTTCTTCCTCGAAATCTTGTTTATAAAATGAGTAATTTCGATTTTATATTTTTTTCATCTCTAACATTTACAAAATCATATCTAAATTGAATTAACATTGAGTAAATCTATAACAGATTTAGACTCATTTCTATGTGAATGTAATGCATAATTTTAAGCTTTAGGTTGAATGCTTACATGTAAATATAGTTAAAAAGTATTTTAAATATAATTTAATATGAAAATTTTGCTACATAAGTACTTTTTATTAACTTTTAACATGAAATTTTTCGAATTTATTTAGCTAGAAACTATAAGATTTCACTTACTCGCATAGAGTAGTTTTAATGATTTTATTAAGATTTTTTTTAGGATTAATTATAAAAAAAAACATTTATATTAACATTGGCCTAAATTTTAAAATTATAAAATAATAATATTTTGTTTATATCCTATTAAAATTTTGATAATTTCTATGTAATTTTTTCCTACATTGAGACATATACACGAGCCAAATATAAGAAAAATGATATTAAAATGTTTTATTAACAACAGCGTAATAGAAATTTATATATTAACCTACATTGAACGATTTTTTATAAATTTATTGTATGAAATTTTGGCACATATTCATCAGTAAGCTGCAAAAAAGATTAAGTATTTTCATAGATTAGAAAGAAATAAGCCTAATTCTTCATATGCCAATTTTAATTTAAGTGCAGACAAAAATCTTGCTATGTTGCTATGAAAAAATGTTACATTAATGATACCATTGAGCCAATATGATCCAGAAATAAATGATAAATTGCTGCAATTATACTAACTTTATATTTATTATAGCTTATATACATAAGATATATTTGTATTAAGAACATAGAGAGTAACCTTACTTAATCAGTAGCAGTAAATCATAAAATATCATCCAAAAAAATAGATTTTTAGGAGTAAAAATGATATATTTTTTTCAATTTTACTTATAAAAAATACATTTCTTAAAAGGGATTTGCTTACTAAATGCTCTCTTTTTTTAAAACAGTCTAGTCTAGCAACCTCTAGGTTATATCAATATATAACTTATTCTTGTATTAGTAAGACTTCAGGATATATTCATGTTAATTCCTTATAATTTATCTGGAAATTTAGATTTATAATTTAAAATTTAATCGGATTTTTGTTCTATTAAATCTTGCTTCATGCTAGAACAAGGATTCCTTATCTAGAGCATGACGATCGCCAGCATCGCTCATCTCTTGTGTCAGGATCTTTCAACGTTGTTAGATTATAAAATTCTTCTACACTAACAGGAACATTAATTTAATTCTTTGATTAAATGATAGATCAGTTTCTAAAACATTATTCTCCAATAAATGTTATTGAAAATTGAATAGAACAAATAACCTCTTAGTTTTTCATCCAAAAAGTACGCTTTGATAACGACAAAAAGGTTTGTAAAATTTTTTTATTTTAATCTTAAATTTGAGTGGAATTATTTCATAAAAATATTCTCTTAAAAAATTTAAATTTACTTTCTAAAATATTATTATAACTTTTGATAATGTCGCGCAGATAATGTGACTAAAATTTAATTTATAAATTAAAAAGAATAGAAGATAAAGTAAAATTTAATAATGGTACAATTATATTAATATATTTTCTATAAATTTATTAATATTTTAAAATTTTTAGATAAAAATATTTGCCACTAAATTAGCTTGGAAGAAGTTAAATCATTTTGTTAAACACACAAACCTCATGAAAGGAATGCTTTTAGTATTTTTATCTTTAAGCAATTCTTCATTTTTTCTTGATTTCACTTAAGTAATTAAAACGAACTTAATCTTAAAATGTTGAAATTTAGTCTTTTCTCGCTTTCAACCGGCAGCTATTCACCATTGTTTATAATTGTAGTGCTTAATTGTTTGATTAATTTATTAATGAAAACGAGTAACTTGATTAGCTTTCATCTAAAATACTTTTTATTTTTATTTTATTTTTCATCTTTTAAAAGCTAAAGATACGATATTAATTAGTTAAGTTCGTGATAAAGTAAACGAAACTGTTCTCACACAGAATATATCTATATATATACTAGCAATTTATTTATTTATTTATTTATTTTAATGAATTTTTTTCCTCTCTCTCTCTCTCTCTATCTCTATCTTAATTATAATAATTATTTGTAAACAGGATAAGAAAATGGTTTTAAAAATTTGTGAACAAGGTACTAGTTAAAACAAAGTTAATGAGTTAATAGATGTTTTCATTCATATTCTGTCAGTATGATTCATCGTGAATTTTCTACTTTTTTTCATGAAGATTTATGTAATTTTTTAATTTTGGATTGTTCTAACGGTTCCGCAATATCGCCCACCACTTTATTTAATTACTACTATAGCATTTTATAATTAAAATGCATTAATCTCATTGTATTCGATTATGTTACATGTTAAAGAAATTTATCTAAAACTCAACTTCAATAGTGTAATGAAATATACAGGGCTTAAGTAATCCAAATAACCGTTTATATATAAGTTAAATTCGAATTTTTACGTAAAAAATTCCTTCATTTTATGTACTAGAATTGTTTAATATATTAATAATTTATTCGAAAATATTAAAGAAAATTNCAAGTAATACATTTAAAAAAATAACTGTAGTAAGAAAAACAAATGAAAAATGCGAACTAATGTAACGTCATATGGTGAGTTTTTGTTCGTATCGTGGAGCAAAAATATGTTTGAATTTCATGTCGTATCCTGAAAATTTCGTATGCTGGAGCGTTCGTAACCTGAGGTACCACTGTATTTGATTCAGAATGCACACATTCATGGCTACAATACCAGAAAATAAAATTTTTTGTTAAAAGATGTCTTTTCATTATACTATAACAAATTTTAAAAATACTTTAATGCAGTAACTTATGTAAAAGAAATGTGTATGCTCAAAATAAAAAAAACTGAAAATTTTCATTAAAAATCTGTGGTTATGTATAACATTTCAACAAAAGAACTACAAATTCACAACTTTCCAAGTTGCTGATTCATCACTGTCAGCTAATATTTTCAGTTTCATTGAAAAAGGAGTACAATCTTTCTCACTGAAAAACTGAAAGATAAGGTTCATAAAATTAAAAATATATACCCTTACAATTATTTTTTATTACTTCAAAGTTATACAAACAATCTATATATATCATGGTATTTTTTAAACTAGTTTTTGCTTGATAGTTACACTCTCTTCTATAAAATTGCAATTTAAGAGTAACAACTTTTATGACATTGATATGTGTTCACAAACAGATATATTATAAATTATATAAACTTAAAATTTGCCAGATGCTGGTAGAAGTGTTATCAGTTTTTATCCTTGTATTAAAAAGTTTCTCCACTCCCTGCATTACATTGTGATGCACTGGTTATATGCTTAAATGGAAAATTGTTATTCATACAATTTGTGTCTACTTTATACCATAAATTATTTTAACTATTTGAAAATTAAATATGATATAGTTTTCTTCTTCTTTTGACAGTTATCATGTTTAATTCTGTTATTATTTATTATTATATAATGACTTTTTAATTGTTTTATTTACTATAAAACAATTAAAAAGTCATTATATTACAAAATTTGCTTCAGTTTTGACACTATCTTATTTATCATTTCAAAGCATCACCTGTTCTTTAAACTTCAAATTAACTTTCTGGAAGAAATTAATTCTTTTCTTCCAGAAATTCTAAATTAAAAATTAATTTATTATTTATTATAATTATTAAAACCACCATGAGAAAGCAACCTAACCACCTACCTCTAGTCAAATTGTTTTATATCTGATTATTAAAGTAGTCTTATTTTACTTATTAGCATTATAACCCAATAACACAGATCATTTGGTATTAATATATTAAGAGCAGCTCTGTTTTTGGGCATTATTTAGTATTGATCAGAATACCTGAAAGTACTTGTAATCACATATACAATTATTACGTACAACTAATAATTTGCATATTAATGTTAAACAAATCTTATACAATGAATTTTCAAAGTGATAAAAAAAATATTTAATTTGGAATTAAACATTTTAGCATAATAATAAATTAGAACTAGATTTAAGAAATTCATTATCTTGAAATTATTTTCATTTCATCTTTATTTTATTTTTAGATGTCATGTTTACAATAAAAGTTATTATTATTATGTATAATCCAGTTGTTTTCAAACTGTGGTATGCATTCTCTAGCATTTTCACTGGCAGGTGAAAAGGCTTCTTCTAAACTTCCTCTAAACCTTTCATAAAAGTAAAGTTGAGAGGAAGCAAGAATTTTTTAAAAAAGGGTAACATCTCTCTTTAAAAAGTTTGGAAATCACTGATGTAATCTAAATTGCAACAAACCTTAAAAAAAATAACTTGACAAGATCTATTTTAGATTTCAGAACAATACTTTCACTTACTTTATACACTTTTGGTGATGTAGTCTTAATATTACTTAATTCAGTGAAATACTTGTCTTCTTCTAACATTTTTTTAAAATCACTACAAAAAATAGTAATGAATTATTTCCTAATAATTTAAAAATAAAAAGTTTTTATTATTTAATTATTAAATAATATACAGAAAAAGATATGGTATTAAGATCACATCAATTTCTTAGCACAGAAGAGAAATCACTTATTAAAAAATTAGAGTGACTTATTAAAAATGACTTGTTAATAAACTATCATCATCATCATAATGTTTTACTGATGGAGAAATATAATTGACAGTCTTGGATTTCAGAAAGTGCAATGTTGGATAATGTATTTAAAACAGAGAGATTAAGTCCAAAAAAAATGTTTCTAGTATTTTTAAATTTTTCTAAAGAAAGATATTTTATGAAAATTAAATTTAGAAAATAAAATGTGAAATGCTTTTTTTTCAGTAACAAAGTGCAGTTGTAAAAATTAAATACTGAAAACTGGAAAAACAACAGATGACAACAATCAGTATTAGATTAAATCAAATCCAATTGCTCTCTTGTAGAGATAAGCTGTAAATTTTTATACTCTAAAGATATAATGAAATATATATATTTCATTATACATATATATATCCATTGATGATGTAGTCTTAATATATATATATATATCTTTTAAAAAATAATTACTATACTTAATAAAATCAAATCAAAAAAATAAAAAATGGAAAAGACAGTAATAAGAAAGATAAATGGAGTATAAGGTGTAAACTATATATCCAGAATGACTTCCTCCATTTTGTTTTTTTTTAAATTGAACTTGCAGTTTTTCTATTATACAAGTTGATATTTAATTCTGAATGTTTTTCTTTAAATTGTTCAACTTTTAGGAATGAAAGGCCTAAGAGAAGACAAACATAGGAAACTCATTGGAAATTTTATTATTAGAAATTTGATGAAGGGTAAACTTTTCACTGTAGAACATTCTAAATGTTTGGGCATTTTAAAAAGCATTATATATGATATAATTAAGAGAGTAACAGAGAAGGAAATTCTATCTAGATCTGAAAAAGGGAAGAAAAACAGTTAAAATTACTGAAGTGAAGCACAAATAGCTAACCAATGTTGCTGTTTGTAAGGTGAGCCAGTCTCTCTATATACCAAGTCAAAATACCTCAAAATAGTTCAAATACTTCACACAAGTGCATGGGATATTAAAGAAAAGGAATACTATATTCTTAAAATAGAAAAAAGATTTTTACATCCAAAATATACTGTGAAGCAGTTATTAAATTAAAATTTTTTGATTTTCTAACTGGACAAAAGAGATCTGCAGTCCAAAACATCATGATTGTTATCAATGCTAAGCCTTATTTTACAGTAGATTGCTCTGAATATGTGGAAAATGTTTTTATTGTGGAAAATGTTTTTATTGTGAAAAAAGAAAGGATGCTATTCCTGAAGTGAAGTTCAAATGTCATGCAAAGTTCCCAATGAAGGTTTTAATGTGGGTAATCATAACTTTTCATTGGTGGTCTCTGGCATTCATCATACCATCTAAACTTTGTATTAATATAGAAGTATATAGTATAAAGTGCATCAAGACTAGTTCTATTCTTCAAGTACACTCAGAATGGAGATTAAGAGATTATGTGCTTTGAACAGTTATAGCAATGTCCTACTATGCTCAAGATACCATTGCTGCCTTTGACCAATATGAAATATAATACATTCTTCATATGTAACTGCGTAAAATGAGAGATACGATGCCATTTAGTGAAATAATTCTTTTAGTTTTAATAGAAATAAGTAGAAACAATTTTGATATCGATAAGCCTAGTTTGAATGATAGCAAACACGTGGAAATTCAAAATTATCGTTATTCAGAATTATTAAATAAAATGCTGAAAATTGTGTTTCGGTTTCATAATATATTTTATTCCTGACATTGATATAATAATTTGAATGTATCCCAAATGTATTCAAATTTACAATTTGAATACATTTGGGATACATTAGGCACAAACAATGTGCCTAATGTATCCCAACTAAGACCGACCAGTTTTAATATCAGTTAAAGCAGAAAGTATAGGACAGAGGATGGAATGTCAATTCTATAGCAGAACTCTACAAAAGAATTCAGACAAAGCTCAACCAATTTACAACTGTATCTTTTGAAATATGTTAAAAGTTCTAAAAGCAGCAGACCATAGAACAGATTTGATTTTGTTAAACCAATAGGCTATTCAAATATATATATTTTTTCATTTATTTGTGTGTATTATTTATTTCATAACTTCAGAAATCAATTCATTTTCATATTCCAGATTTTTATTTTATGCACCTTTATATGATTCTAGAAGAGTTGTAAAATGTTATTAAAATAAAACAAAATGACAGGCTTTAGTTCAATTATCAAATGGCAGCCTCAACATAATAAATCCAATAAAGTATAAGAATAACCTTATTTTTAGTAAATATATTTTTTGAACATTAAAAAAATGCATTGCTTTCCACTTGCTTTATTATTTCTTTATTATTTTCTTGCTGTAGCATATTCAGGTATCAATGTAAGAAGGTATTGAGAATAGGTTTGTGAATAAATTTTTTCTGTACCTAAATCTAAAAATAAATTTAGTTTTTTTCTGGTTTTTATAATAATTTAAGTCTTACAGGTTTATTCAAATTAAACATTTAATCTGAGTAAACCTATAAGGCTCTTTAAACTGTTTTTATGATGTGCTGTGAAGAAATGGAATCAAATATCAAAAGAATTAAAAAGCTATGCACAGAACAGAACAACTTTATTAAGTACACCACTCCATAGGAATATAACAAAATTTATGTGCAAAATACATAAAAATGTAATTTGCATATTAATTTTTTACTTTAAAAGATTAAGTTAACAATAGCAATTATTTATTGCAATTTAAACACAAGTTATACTTACCTATAACACAATACTGCAATTGTTTACAGTCGTTACAGACGTAATGAACGTTTTCTGCATATATATAGCAACGAATTTAAAACCAAAACTAGAACCAAAACAAAAACTGTGGCTACAAAGCATTATCAGTAACAAGCGGAAAGTGTAGTAAAGTATCATGTGACAGATAATACAAAAAAACAAATGTCAGGAATAAAATATATTATGAAACCGAAACACAATTTTCAGCATTTTATTTAATAATTCTGAATAACGATAATTTTGAATTTCCACGTGTTTGCTATCATTCAAACTAGGCTTATCGATATCAAAATTGTTTCTACTTATTTCTATTAAAACTAAAAGAATTATTTCACTAAATGGCATCGTATCTCTCATTTTACGCAGTTACATTTGTTATAAACTAAATAATTTATATAAAGATAGATTCTATATTAATTCATTCGACACGTTTCCTTCCCGACCGGACATTTCTACAAGTGTCAACAAAATCCATCGCCACGTGATTATCAGCGGAGTAAAACCAATCACGTGAGCAGCTTTAACCAATTAAAAGACAAGGCGGTAATTATTTGAATTTAAAAATTTGTAATTAAAAAAAAATTATTTATAAATAATATATAATTTCAGTGTTAAAAGAATAATTAAAATTAATTTTGATTGCTTGATTTTTATTAATTTGAATTATTTTAATCGATATAGTTTTTACTAAATAATATAATAAATTTACAATTTGAATATTAACTATTAGTGAATAAAATACTTTTTTATTTTTTAATCTGAAAATTAAAAAAATATATTTAAATTTTGTAAAATAAATTTTTGAATAAAATAAACAAAAACAAGCAATAGCAAATATTTGAATATACAGTTAATAGTGACATAATCTGTTGATAGATGGCAGTAATAAAATATATTATTTTAAAATATTTATTCTATAATAATTTGAATATGTAATATTTAATTTTATTTAAACTCTTTACATTTATAATATTTTAACAAACTAAAAAATTAAATGTTTAAATTTTATATTTTAATTTTTTATTAATAATTGAAAATATTTTAATAATATATCATAACTGTTAAATACTCTTAAAAGCATCTAATGAATATATGATGTCGATGTATTACAAATTTGAAAATATGTCGTGTTTAACGTCTGAAAATTTGACTAAAAAATTATATTAATATTTATATTTCTTAAAAACATAATTTAAAAATATATAATATAATTAATACTTTAACGAAAACTTTATGTTCTCCTGGCGCCAATCATATGCAAATTATCCATATTAATAATTACGAAATTGTATTAAACATTTACCGTGCAGTTATTTATTAAAATATATTTAATCAATAATATTATTATCAATATATCTTATTTATTACATTAAACGATATTATAATGTAATTTAATTATAATTAAAAAAATTTTGATACTAATTTTGTAAAATGCCACTAGATGACGCTAGGGCTACATTTTTTCCATAGAGAACAATGAATTACAATACTTTCAAATTATTTTATAACTTTTTTTTAATTCAAAATTTTTATAATAATAAAATAATGATGAAATAATTTCATAAAATAATTTTAAAATAAATAATTTGTCATTATTTTTACAAAATATATTTATTACAGCAATAGTAATTTTGTAGAAAATTACGTATGAATCATTCATTTTTGTTCTTTTTTCGTACAAATAATTATATATTTCGGAATGACAGTTTCATTGTTCATAATAAATAAAAGATTGTCCTAATTTTTTACTATTACGTCATTCCCATAGAGTATATTACCATAAATATATTCTATGGGGAATAAACCTCATGTGACTAATATGGAGACAAAAATGATCTAAAACTGTGTCATATAGAAAATTTATCCGAAAGATTTACGTTTTACATTATTTATTAAAATTTTATCTTGCATTAATATCTAGAATATCATTATAAATTATTTATTTTCACTGTATTAAACTGCTACTAGAAGGCTTATTATATTAAGTAGGCCTTTTAGATTTTTGAGCAATTGCAGCATCTAAAATAAAAGGTCTAAATCCAAAATATAGGAAATAAGCCAATAAAATAAGCAATTATTAACTGCTAACTGGGGATATGAGCAATAAGTAAATATTATTACTATAGAACTACTATTAATTAAGCAATAAGTAGAGTGATTATAGAGTTACCATTAACTACAAGGCATAACTATTGAAAAATAAGTTTTGTATTTAAAACATTAATTATAGTTACGTAAATTCTAACTGCTTAATAGTGATATTTTCACGTATTTTATAGCATTCTACTGTATCTGTATTGGCAGCCATAATGAGATCAATTACTATTATATATCCAGTAGGATAATGTGTAATAAAGTTGTAAAGCTTTAAGTTACTATAAGAATATTAAGTTTATCAAATACTGAAAAATATTCAATTAATAACTTTAGTAAAGTAATATTAGGTTAGTAGCATAAAACATGAGTCAGTAATAGAAGTTATTAACCTTTGACTACAGGCTACTACAATTTAGTGGCGTAACTCGAAATTAGTAATATATAGAATTAATGTAGAGTCGTAGCCTTTAATCGGTGTTATATTTTACGAGGCAACATATTTTCACGTTATCAGCACAATCAGCAGTTAAGTAAAGCCATAGTAACACGTTATAAACATGAATGAGAAGAGAACCATTAATAAACATCAGTCCTACGCACCGGATATATAATAAATAAAAATCTTTTTTAAAGTGTTGAATTAGCGATTTTCCTTTTCTCGAAAATGTAATTTAGAAAGGAACCAGAAGTCAGGATGTGGTTTTAGTGTGTGAGTGAGTGTGTGTATGTGTGTGTGGGTGGATAAATACCGTTAGTCATACGCCGTTCAGACATGACAAAAGTCTACATCACGCCTACGATTTAGAAAAGAACCCCGCAAGGTCGTGTGGCCACCCGAAAAGAACAAACAAGTTAAAGTCGTGTAGGATCTATTGTAAAAATAACGTTTAGAAGGTGGTACGATTTCAACCAAAACGTTTTTCTTTACGGTATAAAAACACTAGAAAGTGATCCAGTAAAGTAAAAAATCGATAAAACTGTCGTCAATGAACTTACTATTCTTGTGTATTAGTCATTGGGATTCGTTTTAAACGTGAGGCGACTGAGAGTCTGTTCGTATTTTGAAAAGCTAGTTAAAATAGAATAAAAAAAAAAAAATTTTCAAAGAAATAAATTTGGCTGATAGGTGTGGTTTCCTGCACGTGTCGTGTAGTTTTCTTAACCGTTTCAAACTTTATAGAATAAAATAATAAATATTAAAAAAAAAAGGAATTGTAGGTGAGTCATCTGAGCCGGATTAGATTCCTTCGTGACCAACCGAATTGATATTTTTACATGATTAAAAGGTCAATCTCGATAATAAGCATCTTCAGCAATTCTGATTAAGTCAGCGGATTTAATTAAGATCAATTACTAGATCGATATATATTTTTTTTAAATCATTGGAAGAGATTTTACTACTATTACTAAATGAATAAATCTGAGAAACCAGATTATATCTTTGCTTCCTCGAATCAATTTCTAAATAATAATCTCTAAGTTTGATCAAGGCGCGATTTATATGATTATGGACCAATAATCTGGGATTTACGTGTTGTTAGTTTGAAGCTTGAAGACCAGGTAATTATTCTATATTCGAATGACCTGTTGCAATTAGAGCCGTCGACGGCCCTGATTGCAACAGGTCATTCGAATATAGAATAATTGTCGTTTGTATGAGACTTGGCGTAGTGCAGGCCCCTTTAGCTCCTTAGAGGGCCCCACTAGTTCTTTACTGGGCTTTTTTTTTCCATTTCTCCCCTTTTTTTGAACAAGTGAAATACAAAGAATTTTTTTATATTAAGCTTAAACAATTGTAATTTTTGTTAGTAAAACGTTAATTTATAAGGGTAGGAACCACTACGAGTCCCCAAATTCTTCCGGGTCCTGGGAAAAATTCTCAGTTACCTTCCTCTCGATTGCCATGGTTGCGATATAGGAAAGCAAGAACTTTGATATAGAATCTTACAGGAGTTCGACATGGATAAGTTCGTGTCTTAAGTTACAAAATTTTAAAATTTATTCGGTCCCATTGGTAGATTTAATGATCAAAAGAAGCGAAAATTGAAAATAGAATGAAAACTGTTTCATTAAGTCACGCATCAGAGAACGGCTTGGAGGGAACAACTCTCAACTAATTAAATTTTCTGCCGTTGTTGAATTCAAATACTTTGCTGCTGCCTAAGTTTCCACAGCAATTATATAGTAACATCTAAATATTAAAACCTCGAATTCGAATACAATTACGCGACACGATTACTTAATATGTTTACAGTTAAAACGTGATATCTTCTAATTGTCGATAGTTTAATGACTGCTAATTGTTCTTGAGCTTTTAAAACCGATAACGGATCGATATTCTTGATTGTTTTATGTTTATAATCGATTTTGTTGTATGGTTAATGGAATTTTATTTTGATTTTATTTCTATGAAGCACGGATAGGAAGTACAGTTGGGTTTATTTGTAACAAATATTGCACCATAATAGGCCTAGTTTCTAGGAAAAGCCTACTCGGGATGATTAAAATTCTTGATTTAATTGGTTCTCGTGAGTTCAAAGTCTTTCAACTTATATCTGCATTCTTCTTAGGCTTTCGGAGGTCAGAAACATGGAATTGTAAAATAAAAAAATGGATGACAAAAGTATTATTCAGAAGTATAATCAATGACAAACAGGAAGAAGGTGTGGAAAGAATCATTTCCTGGAAAGGTAACGTGAATCACATTTGAGTCACGATACACAAACAGAAAGTGTATTTGGATCATCCGTGACTGGACATATAGGATACATCTGTTAGCTGAACCGACTTTTATGTGAATCAAAAGATTGACATATGGTGAGTGGACTTTCGAGAATCCTTTATGTTAAAATTTTTAGTTTTATCCGGAAAAATATCCTGATATTATAACGTTTAATAGTTTTGGAATGCGAAGATCCGTTAATGAGTCAGGTGAATCCGCATCTGAATACCTCTTGTTTGAATTCAAATCTTTTCGTCACAGAATATTCGCAAACGACACAATTTTGAGTTAAATGGCGCATTTCCTTTAACTTTCATCAAAATTCATAATTGGAGGTTGGACGAGAAATATAATCTTGCGTAGCAAATTACCTAGAGTAACAAGTATGCAAATGCCGATGAGTTTTCGCATACGTTTAGAACAATTAAAATCTCAAATGAATTTAAATAAAAGATTTAATCGTTGAAAATTTATAATTGTTAGTTTTTACCATTTATTTTCGAAAGAAAACACATTATACGATTAACAAAAATGCATCGGAGCATAAATTAGAGCGTGTAACTTTAGAGGAGAAAAAAAAAGTTATATTTCAGCAAAAAATAATATTTAATTTCTTACTTATACCTAAAATTCTTCATTCGAATGAAGTTTGCATTT